CGTGCCCTGTGATACACTGGCACCAGTGTATACCTTTACTAAATATACTTTGTAGTATTCACAAAAGCCATTTCCTGGTGAATCAGTGTTTCCAGTTATTCTACTTCACGAATGCGTGAATTAACAGGGGGGAGGGTCACCGTGGAGAATCTTTGTTGTCCACGTTTTTGCTCCATCCAACTCCCTACTGGGAGCAAAACCGTGGTTTGTCTGTGGGATCCTGAGGACCGGATTGGGAAACACTGTTTTACTGGTATCGATTGCTATGCTGCTCTCCCTTTTCCCACATATGCATCTAAAAGTGTGTTTACACACTTCACTGAAATCCTGTGACACAACTTCGTGTTGCTATGATGTTATAATGATATTATAATATACAGTATATTATGGCATGAAGCATTATACTTAGGCTATATATAATACACACAATGATTTCAAGGATGATCAAAACCTACAACATCCACTGGAAAGCTGAACAAGTTAATGGAAGAAAATGATGCTTTTTATATTTAAACATTCCTCTTTAGTCAAACCTCTATCAAATATTTAAATTTGGCTTCTACTGAAATAACGGGTTTCAGTATAAATGTTGTAATGTCGTGTAATTTTGGCACTTTTATCTTCTCTGCAGTATAAAAAGCTTGTTCAGATGCAATATCAAACAAGCAATTATACAGGCAAAAAGAAAGCCCAGTATGTCAGGGGAGGAACAAAAATCAAGCCTTTTGTCGTCGGTACAAACATACAACTTCAATCAAAGGTGTCATAAGACGTTAGTAATATGCATCATTGCTGCCAATCATTCCACGTTATCTGTACTGACAACGCTTAGTGTGAGATGCTTATGATGTATATGGTGGAAATGCGAAGTCTATGGGACCTCATGAATGACTCCGAGGACAAAAGCAGCTTCACCAATACTTAGGCTCTGTCTCCATAGGTGCTTCATCCAGACAAGGAGGTAGAGGAAATGCAGGAGCTGCGTCTCCATCCTCCGTATTACGACATGGCATCTTCCTTTTCGGAAAAGCTGGTGAGTAGCTTGACTGTAGGAAGCTGTCTGCCCTGCCTGGTTTGATTAACTAGAAAATAAGTCCTTTCTGGAGCTGAGAGCAGAAGGAACTTATTGATACCTGAGGCTTTCAGACTAAAACAGTAATGGAGTGTGCTCATACACTCATTATCACCCTTAATATAAATGGATTAAATAAATCTACATTTAGAGTGTAAAGTGAGATACATGAGAACATAAAATTCCATATATAGAAATATATCAAGCTGGTAATTAATGCTAATTTGCTGTACATTTACCACATGTAATAAAATTTAATATATGAACCCATTTAATTATTCAACATTTAATCTATATATAGTACTATACAAAAGTCTTAGGCAGTCACTGTTCAAAGGATCTTCATACTGATGTAAAACTATGTAAAACTATGATATTTCCTTAGCAACTTCAAACCCTCTGCTCAAGTCACCCCAGTATTTGCAGCAACTGTCCAATATGCCCATGTAGTTTTTGACTTGACCACTAGCATGCATCATACGGCTAATCAATGTCTTAGTAAATTGTTAAAAAATAGTTCCATTAATGAATTTAGTGAGCTGGTGGTGGAATGTAACAAATACAGGGAATGGCTGATGTCTCTGAGGAGAAGTTTGGGATCCACAGCGATGTTCATCTAACCGTCCAACACGATTCAAAAACATCAAAAACTTTTTGAATAACAGAAGAAATTCCTGTTAGTTTTTATTGTTTTAGACATAATTTGCATATGTTCTATTATCAAATGGTGTTTTTCATTCTGAGAAAACATGCACTTACTACCCAGATAAATAGCTTGAAACATTTCCTATGACTGCCTAAGACTTTTGCACAGTACTGTAGATATATTAAAAAAGTGTAATATGACTTCTAGAAAGGTTATTTTGTTTTTGAATAATACTGGTTTATTAGTGATCAGACAAACCAAGGAAATGGCATTTTAAAAAGAAGCTGCGTTAGAATTATATTAGCATCCAATTATTTTAGATACAGATTTTTATGACTTTGCATTGCTTTGAATATGGCTTTTGTGCACGGTGATAACATTTTATAATTGCTCGTAGGTTTCAAGTGCGTTTTTTGTGTTGCATATTGGGGTGATTTTTGAGGCTTAATAATGTTACCCAGTAATTTTAGACTGATTTTATTATTTCTCAGGCTTATTTAAACTGTAACTATAAACCAAAACTTAAAAAAAAAACACTTTTAGTTCTTCTTATGCATGAAGTTCAGCTGCTGATCTATTGAATGTGGCTTCAGAAGGAACCCTGAGCTTCATGGAATGACCTGTAACTCCGGAGAGGTCAATGATCGGCCAAAGTGTGATGGTGCTATAGTTATCTCAGAAACGCTATCGCCATCTTCTTTTGAATTTGCCATAAAAATACCGTTAAGCATATATGCCTTTGCGAGTTATATAGGTACCCATTCAAAATGACAGAATGGAAAATGAAAAATAGAAAGATTCCTACCTCACTTACTGAAAGGGTTCCACTCCTTTAGAATGATTAATACCAGATATAAAATTACTTTTACATTTACATTTTAACAATGACTTCAAGTAAAATTTCGATCCAGCATCCATGTTCTCAAAACCTGGATCTTTTATTATCTTTTTTAGTCAGCTTTGTGGGCATTGAAATTCAGCAATTAATGGTACCCCAGTAACAAATCAGTACAGTAATAGGCTGTTTGGGTAGGTAAAACCTACGTGTTTTTCTTAATAGTTTATCTTGTTTTAATTTCTTATTCTTTATATACAGTAATTTGTAGTACTGTAAGAAAAGAGTTACATACAGTATATGCACAAAGATCCATATATGTGATGGATACTTTGGGGAGATTAACTCTTTTTTTTTTTTAAATGGTCCTGTAACTTTAATTTTCCACAAAATAAATTGTGAAAACAGCTTCACAGCATTTGAGTTTGCACTATTTAAGCTTTTACTTGGATCCAGTTACCCTTGAATGATGTGGTGTAGGTGTATATTTTTTCCAGCACCCCCCTTTTTTTTAAATTCTCCTCCCTTCTTCATTTCCCCTCCTGGTCGGCAGGTCATGCTCTTCCCATGCTGTGCTGACACTCTCGTTGTCTGTCACTGCCGCCCCCCCCCTGTCTCACATCCCTCTACCTTCTCTAATCTCTAGGACTCTGGCCCCAAAGACCATGATGTCCACTATGCGGAGCTGGACACTTCTGTCTTGGCCTCCTCTCCTTGCCGACGAAGCTCCATTCTCTCCGGGGACCTTGTGGAGTATGCAACCATTCAGCCCAGTCTATAGTAGCACATTGCATCAGAGACCTTTCTGCTCACAAACCAACCTCAAGGCCAACATACTGTAGTCTTACAGCGTTCCAGCTTTCACCCACATATCAGGTGTAAGTGATTCCAGCACCGGAGGCCTGTTACATGCTGTACAGGATTTGGATCAGAAGTGATCCCCAACACTGTTTCAGCTATAGCTTATCTGCAGAGCTCACAGAAAGTCTTGAGATGCTTAATTCTTTAACAATGTTGCAAATTTATTGGTTTCATAACAAAACTCCACTGCCAAGCGATGTGTAACATACCTGCACACATCTTCCATACAGACATTTTCTTTTCATTTAGCCTCATTTTTTTTGACTGACTCACTCTGTTCTTGACATTTTGCTGTTAATTACAATTGTAGTTATTGTCTGCCAAAGGGTTACTAAACACAAATGTTTGATGTTTTATGTTATTGCAGAGGTAACGCTAATTAAAAATCCCCAATGAGTCTGCTTGTCAATGAATGATTTATCTCAGAACAGCTCTGTTAGAACTGCAATTTGGATTTCAATTTATTAGTACTTGAAATTATTTTTTTAGTTAAAACTACTCCTTGTTTTTATTGTTACATATTTTTTTTGTAAACAAATGAACAGTTATGATTTTTGTTATGAGACCAATAAATCTGCAGTATTTTTATTGAATTGAGCAAGCGAGCACTGTATGAACAGAAATGCAGATAAAGCTTCAGTCCTTACCTAATGCTGATTCAGCATTATCACCAAGCACCTTTCTGTTCCAGATGGTTCCTGGTTTCTGCTCTCTATTACCTTCAGTCCACTAAATTAAACCATTTGATGTGTCTGAAAATATAGCAGGGAATTGTTTTTTTTCTCTCACTTGATATTCCTCAAATGTCATGTTTCCAAAGATAACATTGTTTCCCTTGACCCTGTTTCCCTAACCATAGTAGGATCCTGAGTATATAATAATGTTGCTTTTTGAAAAATACTAATATTTTGGTATATTTGAAGCTGCTATTTTCTGTGGAGGAATGTCATGTTTTTAACCACTACAAAAATTGTTATAATAAGAAAACATTCTTTATGTAATGTAATATTTACTTTAGCCTTGTCACATTCAGTCGGTGATATGCAGGAATGGGTTAGATCACAAGATATATCTTACGGTGCATGTGTATGCTGCTTAAATGTAACATTCATGACTGCCTTATGTATGTGAATCTTTTCAGGATACTTCTTTCCATGATGTGTATCAGTAATGTTATTGGGTATGTCTGTGTGGGTAAAGGAATAGTAAAGACTGTAAATACCACTAGTATCTTTTACTGAACCTCTACTCAGAAAAATTTATGTTTTATTTCGCAGACTATCGGGTGCTCGTTGCCACCATTACATGAAGGCATGGGGGCACATTCCTGTGATTTTTCAGCATCGGGGGGTGCACTGTGGTTTAACACCCCTTAGCTTTTCTAAAGTCTGAATTTATTTAAATTTAAATCAGTCTTCATTCTGGATCACTTGGGACCATTGGATTGAATGTCCATCCATGTATGAAGTTATAAAAAATAAATAAAATTTTAAATGTGCTATCCAAAAAAAAGAGAAAAACTCTCAAGTTGAAAAATTAAAAAATTGCTGTATGATTGATGTTAATTCATAAGCATGCATTTTAATATCTTTTAAAATGACCTGTTAAAATGTTTCATTTGGGAATAAGAAAATTATTGGTTTGACTGCATCATTTATTTAATGCAGTGAAAAGTATTAAAGCTAAGACATTAAAGATGAATTTTACTTTAAATCTAGAAAATAATGATTCCGCAGTTCAATTATCTAGATTAATTTTTTCACAAACAGCTTAAATTGTGCACTTGATTAATCTAGTGTGGACCAGATGTTTGGTTAATAGATGCAAAGTTCAGCTTAAAATATTTCCCGTTGTTTAGTTTATTTGGAGCAAAACAGTCCCTAGAGAGAGGAATGAGTTACCCCCCCGTTCCAGTTCAGCTCCTTGGAAATTGGAAGAACAGCCGTTCTCATTTGCAGGCACTTGGCATAGCACTGCATGGCAATATTAGCTGAATCTCTAAACATTCTCAGCACCCCCTCGCTCCCTTTCATGTGACTATCCTTCTGAAGCTGTTCTCTATTCACATTAAAACCCAGGCCATTCTTCCATGATTTAACTTGCACATTTTTAATTCCGACAGTTTGATACACAGCACCTAACTAACATCCCTCATGAGTGAATGTTCCGAGGCTAAGGGCACAACTGTTAGGAACAGTTTGCAAATCATTTGATGGTATTCAGTGAGCCAACAAATGCTAAATAAAAACGCCTTTTAAATATGTACCATTTCAGCTCCTTAGTTTTATAATAACCTTATTTATTAAATGTAATTTATTAAATAAAATGATAATACCTTGTACCTTGACATAATGATCATGTAAGTGAATCTAAGCATAAAGTAATTTAATATAATTAATGGCACTTTTTTAATTTGATGACATCAAATAAACTCATTTGATGGAATTGCCATATTTGTCACATCCCCGTCACGCTAGTTGTCCATCCATCCACATACAGTTAGTTCCTGCATCACCTCCCCAGAATACTAATTGCACACCTGTAGCTCATCAGCCTGATTTCATTAGAAGGGCATAATGGTACCTGGTGTGCAGTTACGTCCCTGTGAAATGCTGTGTGTTCTGCCGTGCTGACTGGTTGTTTTGTGACTGTGGTATCTTCTATATGCCATCAGTTTGTTCTTCTGGATTTCTGGCTCTGTGGTTTGAGTTTGGTGATTTCCCTGTGTTACTCTTCTTGACTTTGTGACTGTTGGCCAGTGCTTGGACTAAGCATTTGGATCAAGATTTGAACGTGGTTTTCACTGTGTACCTGTACCAGCCCTATAATGTACTGCTCATTTTTGACCATAACTTTTTCGATTGTGATTCTGGAAATAAAACATAGCATTATTACCTCATTTGATCATACATCACCACATTATGGCTGCAGCAGAGTTTGACACAAGACTGAACTGTCAGAAGAAGACAGTTACTCGTTGCTTTCTTCAGGCAGACACCTCGCTACCTCTGAAAGGTACGACTGATCCTAATAAATGCAAGCTTTCTATGTATATCGATCATCATCCCATAGTGCTCAGAACTGAGCAGAGGAACCATTCTGTGATTTCACAGTTAATAGGAGATGTGCTGGAGTGGGCTGTGGTCCCGTAGCATCAGAATAGCCTCATATTATCTTCAGGACCTAGTTTTAGCACTTTTTAAAGAAGTTTTGGGTAAAACTGACTAGGAGTTAGACACTAGCAAATGGGCAGTCATCTTTCAGTAGATGAAGCTGTGGAACTTTTGCAGCTCAGGCACCAAGCTCAGTGTCCCCTGCATTCACAGGCAAGGCTACTGCATCACAAGGAGGCACAACTGCTGCTCATTACCTTACCAAGGGATCCTCTGCTTTTATTGAACCTCTGGTTCAGTCTCCTTGACCCAGTCATCTCCCGGAAAGAGCGTAAAGATTATGGGGTCCCTACATATCTTGCTATCGCCCACTCAGAATGTCTGTCGTTCATAAAGGAGATCTTGTGCGTCCCTATAAGTACATTTCTAATTGTCCACATTAAAGACCTGCTTATTTACAGTACTCCCCTGATATTTCCACCCAGACGGATCACGTTTTGGAAACTTCTTCAATGGTTCCGAGAAGAGAACCCGTACACCAAAGCTGAAAAGTGTGACTTTCAAAGAAAAGGAGCCCAAATGGATGATAATTAAGGTATCTAGCCTCAACCCCTGGCTGTTGCAGACTTGGGCTTCTTCTTAAGCTTTGCAAATTTCTAACGAATGTCTTTCCAGAATTTCAGCACACTTGCTGTCCCTTTGACCTCAGAGCTACCAAGAAGATCATGTTGGCTGATTCTACACACGCTGCCTTCCAGCACTTTCCTGCCCCACTGCTTCTATTAAAATACACACTACTTAATTTAAGAGCTTAAAAGTGCATACTACACATTATAATGTGCAAATAAAGGCTTGTAAATAATTTAAGAGAATGTCTAAAGCACCAAAGGTACTTATCAGGCAGAATTAAATTACCTTGCCAAGGGCTTTTGTTTTTTTATTTTGCATGTTGACTTGATCTAGCAAGTTTTGTTGCTGTTGTCAAGGTTATATTGTGTCTCATTAGATGCTGTGTCACAGCCTTTCCTTGTTCACTCTCTGAAACCATCTTATTCTGATCACACATTTACAACTGAAAATTACAAACACATTTCATTGCTTACATATTATTTTACTGCAATGGTACATCAAATAAAAAAAAATGCCATGTGTATTATGCATTATGAATGCTTTATGAAGCTTTCATCTATAATGCACCATATATACCTTCATAATACATTATAAATGGTCGGTATAAGCATTAAGGATGCTTTGTACTGCATTATAAAGGTACCTATAGTGCATTATAGATGAGAGCTTCATAAGGCAGTCATAATGCATAATAGACATGGCTATGATGTGTTATGTCTTCTTATGAACATTATTAGCCATGTGCACTGGCATGCATGTGCTTTCTGTAAGTACTGGCACCACTTTCAACGCATTTTATCGTCTCCAAACACACAGGTGAGTATCAAGGTGAGATTATTTTTGGCTGCTTTTTAAATGCCATCTCATCCAGGATTTTCCCTGTCATCAGGGTCCAGGCTAACACAGCAACTGGGTTCTGCAGAAGCAACTGTGGAAGTTTGTCTGCTGATTAGACACCACAAAGACAATGTTTGGAGGTTGGCTTTCAACATGACAAGAAATAGTCTGGTAGGTTACCACTGTTTATATAGTTGTTTGTATAGTTTAGTGTTGTTGATAATGCAGACTTTTGTTGCAGTTGATTGAATATTTTGTGTTTTTATATTTGCTTGAATGTCACACAAGTCAAACGATTAACCAATCACACAACCAGACACATGTAACAGTGTGCAATTAACCAATCATACAACCAGACACAAAAACAAGTGCAAGGAAACACATTCTCCCCTGTTACACATGTTCATTCAGGGATTGTATGGCTTTTCCATGGTGCTGCTCTTGATGAAAAACACACAGATAAAGTCAACAGCACATGGACACATTGTTAAGTTTTCAGTGCTTGCTGATGATAATGCTGTCAATGTACTTGTAAGCACCTGTAGGGAGTTTTAGTTGAATGAAAATGTCAACTGTGACTTTATTTTATTGCCACAGAACATCAGCTAAGGAATTCATCTAAAAAGTATGGAAATGATCTAGGAGATCAGAAATTTTTTTAATATCCCAGAGAAAATTGTTTGTGCAATCTGTAATCACAAACAATTTTCTCTGGAATAATAAAAGTTTTCTGATTCTGAGTTAATTAGAGTTATAGTATTGCTTTTCATTGTATCAGATAAATGACAATTAAGGCATTCCATTATTCTGTATTTCTGTCTTCCCTGCTATGTTCTCTGGGGGGGGGGGGGGGGAGTTGCCTGAATGAGAGGAAGTACTGGTCCTAGCCAATGTGGTACCCGAGGCATGGGCATGGTTAGGTTAGGTTACAGCCTACCTCTGGCGCCCCCTGTGTGAGGCAATGTGAAATTGCCTGGCAAATCGCCGTCCCCTCAGAAGCTGGCCTACAGTATTGATCAGCCCTTAAAATGCTTTACATTATTTTGTACCTGTGCTGATAGGTTGTCATTTAGTTTATGTTTAATTTACTTTTAACTAACAAACACATTATTTGTGGGGAGGCTGATGCGATGTCTTTGATCTCTTTCACTGTATTGGCATTCAGCTAGATTCAACAATCAAACACAATGTAAAGACAGTGGATAATTGCTCTGCACCTTATTGCATTGATGGGCTGACAGCTGGCTCATTTACCTTTGAAAAAGCAATAACATGTACACCACAATAAGAACTGTCCACAGAATGGTTAGCTTTAATTGCCCCACTGTGAAAGCACTGCTGCATTCACCATTTTGCTATGTGACTGAAATGAATCGTTAATGAAAGGCTGAGCCGAACATGACGGGAATGCATCCATGCTCAGTTTATTTAATCATTTATGAGAGATACGATATGGCAGGTCCCTGCAATCCTGTACTGGATAAACGGCTGGAAGGTTCATGGGTGGATGGATTTTTTTGTTTTTCTTTCTTTCCTTTTCGCTGCTTTCTTAGCTATTGTACATAGCTGACTACATGAGCTATCACCATTGCCCGCAGTACAAAGAGCCTGAACGCCCATCGCTATGCCCGCAGTACAAAGAGCCTGAACGCCCACCCTTCCCCTGCCTACCCCACACTGCTGCACTCATGGCAGAAACCCTGCACATGCCCGTTCTCCTCCAGCTCCTTATGCATATACCAGGGATGAAAGGGTTTGAAAGATGCCGGAAGACAGCAGTAGCATGAAACAAGCTGTCGATTTAGAACCTGAATCC